TTCCCTACTACTGTTAAACTAGAATAGCATATGATGATGAACTGGAGTTCATGGTGAACTGATCCCTGCTCATGATGTGCCTTATCTCTATAGGTGTGGGAAAGGAAAGTTGACTCAGCTGTGTCTGTACTTCTCTTTGGGGCACTACAGCTGCCTGCAGATGTTAAAAACAAAACAAAACCCCCAAAAATGCACTTTAAAACACAGTGCGTCCCTGCGCCAAGCCTAGAAGAGGCAGAACGTTAGTTGGACCCAGCTTGCCAATGTCTGTATAGATTGGGCACTTCAGTGGGGCTTTTTTGGCACTTTTATCTAATAATTGATTGAACCAGCTTGAGATAAAAGTGCCCAAAAGCCCCACTGAAGTGCTCGATCTATATGGATGCTGGTGTAGCCAGGTCAAAGTAACGTGCTGCTTCTTTCATTAAAGCGCGGGTATTTTAGGGGGGTGGGGGGGGGTTGTTTGTTTGTTTCTTCACACACCAGCAAGCAGCCTATAAGGTTATTTCAGCCTATGCCGAAAGGAAGGATTACAGGCAGTCCTCAGACTTACGATGCAACTGGTTCCTGAAAACTGCGTCTTAAGTCAAAACGTCATAACTCAGAACCAATTTTCCCATAGGAATAATGTTATAAATGGGGGATTGGTTCCTTTACGATGCTGCATATAGCTGCGTCCAGCTGTTAAGTCCAGTGTGGTGAAAGGGGAGGGGAAAGGGGTATTGGAGGGGAGGGGGGAGCAGATCAAGGCCTCCTGTGGTGAGGAAGAGGCTAGGGCAAGTTGCTCATCTGGTGGCTCCTGCCGCTCGTCTGGGATGGCATGGGGTGGGGCCAGGGCTGCACCAGGCTGCACTAGGAACAGGGGCTATGCCCTCCTGCCACTTGCCCAGATGGGGCAGGGTGGGCGCAGGACAGGGCCGCTGCACAGCCTCTGGACAAGTGGCGTGCAGCAGTGGGAGCCACCGCCGCCCCCCCTGGATAAGCCGTGGCTCTGTTCCATGCCTGCCCAACTGGGTGAGCAGTGGCAGGGCATGGGGGGGCATGTGCCCCAAGATAGGGGCGGGTGGTGGAGGCTATGGGTGGGCCATAGCTCCCTCATAGGCCCCACAGCCCTCCTGATGCACAGCCTGGTGCAGCCCCAGCCTGATTTGGGGGCACCCCCACGCCTCCCAATGCCCTGCCACCACTCGCCCAGCTGGAGCAGAGTGGGTGCAGAATGGAGCCCTGGCTGGTCTGGCAGGGACACACACACACACACACACACGGCTGGCTCCCGCTGCTGCGTACCACTTGTCCAGAGGCAGCACATTGGCCCAGGGCCACACCGGCTCCACCCCAGCTGGGCAGGGGGCGGGAAGGCATAGCCCCCGTTCCCAGCACAGCCTGGTACTGCCCCAGCCCTGCCCGCACAGATACTAGGGCACACACTCCCCCACCATGCCCTCCCTGACGAACGGCGGGAGCTGCCGGACAAGCAACTTGCCCCAGCCACTCCTTCAACACAAGGGGCCTTGATCTGTCCCCGCCCAACACCCTTTCCCTTCCATCACACCAGACTTACCAGCTGGATGCAGCTATATCCAGCACTGTAAAGTCGAAACCTACATTGGAAGGTTGAAACCAGGTGTCAATTTATAAACATCTTAAGTGCCGTTCGTCATAACTCTAAAAGTCATAAGTCGAGGACTACCTGTACAATGGTACTCTCTCTCTACATACCTTGCTTCAGTCCCCCAATTCAAGGGAGGAAGGGAACCAGCCAAAGGGCTGCAGCACAAGCTCACAATAAATTCTACTACAACTACATATTTTAGCACAGGAGCATTTATTCACGTTCCCTTCCCAGACTTCCCACATTGCGGAGTGCCAGTATTAGCACACAAATATTTTGTATACTTTTCCATCTTTCCCCTCACCCTCTCTCTTGGATATAAATTCAGAATGCTACAATAATCTGTACAAACACACCACATTTCAACCACCAGGAAATATTAAAACCATGCAGATTTATTGACTGAATCATTTAGATCCTCAATTATAGATTAAATACCAAACACTAATAAATTGCATAATTATGGGGATGCAAATAATTGACAACCTCTACGCACTCTGCATATAAATTTCCAACCAAATCAGTATTTGTGGGGGTTTGTTTTTTTTTTAAATATTATCTATAGCACAAAGTCCAGCCAGGCACAGTGTATGCTTAGCCAGGTGCTGTGCAATTCTCTGACTAGGGTTTACAGATAAAAGTTTACTGGGATGAGAGATACACTATCAGAGATCAAGGGTCGAAGAAATTCTTGTCTATCCAATTGTTAAAAATTATTAAAGTTCAGAAGGAACTCTGAAACTTGATTTACCATACAACTCCACCCCATTATTCATAAGCCTGAAATGATCACTATAATTAAATTATTAGATTTAATTATGATGCACAATAAATATAAATACAAAGAGCAGAAGGAGGGACAATGAAGGCCTTAACAAGCTAGTTACTGTTAAGGGCAAGACCTGAATTTACAATTGACTTTATGAACCATTCTAAGGGAACAATTGCGTCATTTTTGGCTGTCATTGTGGCTGCACTCGCATTATTCCCCATCATCCTCTCAACCGCCCTTACCAGAAAAGACAGAGTACATCTAGCTTCAATATTTGCACTATAAAATGTGATTAAAAGAGGTAAAGGACATGAATTATTGCAAGCAGTTGTTTTCTGTAACAGTCTTTTTTTTTTTTGCCTGAAACACTCTGTTAGTCATCTTCCAAATGGCCCCCACACATGGAACATATGATGATAGGCTATTTATCTTCTGACTCATGTTCTTGTGGTGCAGTCATCACACTCAACTTAAAATTCCCTATGCTGTAAACTTGCCCTTTCTAAGTTGTCTTATTGCTCTCAACCAGAGATGTCAAAGATTGGGCCAGATCAGGCCCATGGACTGTCCCTTCTCCAGCAACCAGAGCACCTGCACTGCACATGGTGCCCAGTCCAAACTGGCTGGGGATGAAAAGATTATTTAAACACCCTGGCTCTAAACTCATCCATTCTCCTTTATAAGCCTAAGTAATATCCTCCTTTATAAGCCTTTCTTGCAGTAAGTCTTAAACAGATTGTCCTCTAATGTAGTGTAACATTAGAGGATCTAATCTTGAGGATGCTACTTAGCACCTTCTGAAAACCAGACTGCTTTAAAGGTGTCAAATTGAAGAGTCCAACAATTGAGTTTGAAGAGAGAAAGTTTTCAGAAGCACCTTAACATCTTAGTTGTTTCTGTACCTCAGTTTTCATTTTCAGATAGGGTATAAGAGTACTGGCATGCCTCCCAGGGTGTATTATGGTGTTCCTGAGATGAACAGAAGTGCAGTCTAGTTTTACTGTTAGTTTTTGTGAAAACTACTGGTTAGTGCTTGAGGGCAAATGAACATTTTCTTTGCTATAAAGTAGCTGAAGCATTAAAAGATTGCCTGTGTCAACTGCTCGACTCCAATTCATTCCTAGCACTGCTCCATAACCACAGTCCTCACCCAGCCCATAGTTGTAAGTTCTTCCTTTAGTTTCACAATTCTGAATCTTCTGTGGATCCATTATATTAGCTGCAGAGAGACGTGGTAAAATTAGTCAGGCTAGAGCTGCTTCTGGTGGATTAAGTGCAGAAATGGAAATTGCATTTCCTAAGGCGCATCTGCACAACACACTATGTGCAATAGCTCATTGCTACTGCACAGTAGCGTTGGCAGGCACTAACTGTTACACTTGTTGCTACTGCGCAGTAGCGCCTGAAAACTGTCTGGGGATGCTACTGGACAGTAATGCTGGTTACTACAGTCATTTGCTAGTTCTAAATGACTGCACACTCGTGTAGACGCAGCCCTAGGGAACTTTTCCTTTAAAGTACCTGCTTCTTCCTGCCTGTTCTCACCTTGTCCCAGGAATGCAATTAAAAAATGCTAAAGAACGCATGAAGAAGTCACTCATTGAATCACACGAAAGTCAGGAAAAGGTGTGCAGAAAATTACAGATTACCATTCAAAATGTTTAACAGCATTCTAGATTGTAAAAAAGAGGTCTTTAATACAATTGTAATGAAATTATACTTATTACCTTGGGGATTGTTTGGATCACGGTTTAGAACTGCATAACGAGGAAGTAAAATGCCTTCAGCTTTGAGAATGCCATACACTTCTCTCCTAGAAGAAGAGCACAAAAGCTACATAGCCAAAGAGGAAAAGCCCAACAAAATTTGCATTCTATAATGCATGAAAAAGCTTACTGTATAAAACCATGAAAGTATTATGCTACTCTGTTAACTAAACATATATAGTGCTTCAAGAGTTGCCTATCTAATGATCTGAGCAAAGCAATTTCAACCAGCGTCAACAAATAAAAATCATATGAGAGAACGTTGTTTGCACTGTAATAGCAGCACATGGAAAGATTTGCACCACACAGGTAAAAATAAAGTAACAATACGAGAGTTCCAGCCAAACCTTTGTTGCATCAACTGGCAGTACTGGATGCATTAAATTTCTTTAGTGTACAAAGGGCTCTAGTCTCTCTGTATTTTATTAACTATTAATTTGTTAATATTTGCTTTTTCTGATGTAAAAGAAAATTTACTTTGAATTTTAATAGGGCCTCAGAATGCTAACAGCCCAAAAGGCCCTGCATGCATTGTGGATAAAATCTCTATAATCTACTTTAAAGTTATACAATAAAGCAAAGTTTTAGGCAGTGTAACATAGCAAGAACTGTATGCAGTAACAGCATCAACCTTCTGGGGGCATAACTGTTTTCTCTGCTGTATTCTGGAGAGAGACACCCATTTAAATGCAATTCCAACCAGATCTTTGCTTGCTTCACAAACAGCATTATCTTGCACAATAACCATCTTCAGACGCTCCACACTGCTAATATCTGACTACAATGACTTGGGCAACTGCAGACTGAAATGCTCCTGAAGTCAAATCAATTATCTATAAGACAGATAGTAATTACAACTGCTTCTGCAGAAGCAAATTGAAAGTGCAGAAGCTCATTTACTTAATTTCAAAGAAAATCAGCATTAGGATCTCATTATTCAGGCTTCACAAACTGAAATGACTTGGGTATTAGGGGCATATGAAAGCAAGATCAAGATAATTATTGTTTGTAGTAACTTCCAGTATGACTGGTAATGACAAAGATAGGCATAGTCTTCACTTTATTTTAGAAGGGCTGAGATTTTAAGATTTTTTGGCACAGGAACTTTCACTAGCCTAGCACAATGGAGTTAGGAGACAATTCGGGCCTTACAGCAAACCACAAAATAAGAAATAAAGTACAGTTCTAACAAAGTAATAAAAAACCACCTAGTCCAACCCAAATTAAGGCTGTCAAATACATCTACAAATACTAAAAACTTATTTGATAAGTTATTACTATTTGTATACACAGAAACCACCTACATCTGAGATATCAATCATAATTTTATTGGGAGTACTGCAGAAGAGATACATGTCCTGTATCTATCACTAGGTTGGCAGCTCCATGGTATTCAATACCACGAGTCTTTTCCCATGTGTTAAAATAATGTTATGTGCTGGTTTGCAGTCAGACAGACTTGAACCATTTTATGCCTAACTTGTAGATGTTACTTACCTATCTTGTATGTGATACTGCATATTCAAGTCATTGATTACAAATGGATTCCTGAGTTTGGCATAGGCAACTGCTTTGTCCAGTGGAAATCCTAAACAAGGTTTATTAAGGAATATAGATTAACTTTCTATTCAATAGTTTAAAATACTCTTTAATTTCAAAATTACACGTGACCTACATGTCAAAAGAAGATTTACCTTTAGAATGAAAAGAAATGAGACAATCGCAAAGAGGCCAGTTTTCTACTGCTTCATTCAAAATAACATCTTCTTCAAATATTACCACCATGATGTATTTAAACATGGAGAGGCGTTCTAGAATTTCCTTCATTGGTTTGGACTTGGATTTCTTTGCCATGGAACATATCCCAACTACAATCTGCCTTTCCGGTGGCTGGGTCAAAATAAGGTTAAAAGAAAATTAGTAACAGTTTTTTTTTGTTTTGTTATATAAAGCTTCATATTTTGTGATCATGATTTAATGCTGGATAAATACCTCAAATTCCCATCAACATGTATCTGTTACTTTTAAGTAATCTTGTAACTGTTTACAAGATTAAATGCTAACAAAAATTCAGTATCTGATGACCTGTCTTGCCATTTTCATTTAGAGAATTATTTAAATTGACAGTTGCACTATTGGTATATTTCTTTAACAATTCAAAAACATTTTATTACAATTTTAAAAGATTTTGTTTGGTGATCCTTTCAATGGGGACAAATTTGAAAGACTCGATAATGGAGCTGTGAATATCAAAATGGGTGGTTATACAACTAAGAGTCATCATAAAATGAAACTGCAAGTCATTTAAAACTATTTCATTTTTAAACAAAAGCAGGAATCCCGACCATGAACATTTTATTACCTATGACTGTTATAAATCAATTACGATTATAATAAAAATAGAGAAAAAAATCCCTATTTTGTCCTATTTTACTTCATGTATTTAATACAATGATCAGAGATATGGGTTTTCAAGAAAATTCTGAACTGGAAAATTTTCCAGAAAACTTTCCAATGCCCTAAATAGAGCGTGATCTGATTTAGCATGTTTCTTTGATCTATATTTAGTAAACAAAACTAAAAAAGTATCCCCATGTTAATTTTAAGTCCCAATAGCCACAAGTATTTGAACTGAAATATTTGTTTAGGAAAAAAATTAAAATGCAGCACACTTAATGTGGTTTAAATGTTATATTCAAACAAATTCAAAGCTTTATGTGGAAATAAATTATTTTTATTGGGATACTTGTAAAAATGTAAAGACAATACACAATAGCATGTAATTCCCTTACATTGTTTGTTTAAATTTAAGAAAAAAATATAAAGGCATTGAAAACTGTTGACACTAATTTTAGCACACCCAAAGAACTGCATGATATGCTGTGGATGTCCACTCATCTACTTCAACAGAGTTTAACTCTCTTCCACTGAGGTCATTGCAGCACCTCCAGTTTCACTGTCACTATCAGTAAAATCACTTGCACTACGTATTAGTTCCATTTCAGAATCAGATTGAGGCAAATCTAATTCAGAACTACTTGAACCACATTCTCTTTCGCTAAACGATAGTTTTACCAATGAGCCTATGGGCAAGGGCAACTTATCATCACACTGCATCTTCTTCACTAACTGTGTTTCTGACTGGTTCTCCAGAAGCAAGAGATTTTGAGAAATAGAAACAACCTTAGCGGTGTGTTCATTTGTTAGTCTATCACTCTTTTTTTGTCTTGATTGAGCTGAAAGGCTTCCAGTTCCGTTCACAAAAAGCTGCTGTTGGTGGGACGGCTTAGCGCAATCCTGGACAACAGTCAGGTGTTACAGTATCCCTTCCGCCATGTGAGAGGAGACATTCTCTGCTGTCCACCAAATGGTGTCTTTGCTCCCAAGTTTTTCTTCTGCACGGTACCCAGCAATGTCTGTCATCACGGCTATTTCGCTGATGTTGGGGACATTCTTAGCTACTTTCATAATTGTATTGAGAGCAGTAGATAATTCATCTTTTGATAAATGGTGTCCTCTGTGTTGAGGATACAAAAGGTTTGCTGCCAGATGAACTATATGAGAGCAAAATTCAGATCTCTTAGTAAACATTTCTATTACTACTTTTTTTGGATAGAGGTAAAGAAGGCAAAAGCTCAATTAGATTTTCATTCAATTGTCTGAATGTCTGGAATATTTGAAAGGCTTGGTGCATATCTCCTTCAAGTTTCTTGATAGCCATTGAAACTGGTAGTAGCAAATTGCATGCTCCTTGAACTCAAACCCAGAACACATCGTTGTCGAGAATGTCCATCCAAATGTTCACGGGAATAATCTGGGATACTGTGTCATCTATTGAAGCACACAGCAAATAGTTCTATGTGCGCAGCAAACTATGTAAACACTTTGTAGCCGACCCCCCATCTAGCTTCTCCTGGCAATAAAAGTGCACTTTCCTTCCCCTGCTTCTCTTTCTGTAATATTTTCAAAGTCTGATTAGGAACATGATGATTGCTGAATACCTTTACACTTGCTTTGCAGTTTGCCACTACTGTCTTCACATACTTACTATGTCCTATGCCAGAAGATTCAACCCATGAGGAAGACAGCCAAATGCTTTAAAGAGGATACTTTGCCTTTAATATATGCCATACCGTTTTCATGTTACTTGCATTCTCAGTTACAAGGGCTTGTACCCTGGAGGGACCTGCACTTTCAATCTCTTCATTCAGTAATTTGGCTATGTATTCACCTGTATGATGAGAAGATGTGGTAGCAATTGCTTTCAGGAATATTGGTTCAGGTGTTGCTAACATAATGTTCAATAAAGGATTTCTTTGTGTATCAGTCCATCCATCTGACATCAGAGTCAGTGATACTGCTGGACCGATCCTTTGAAAAAATCATTGTTTGAATTCGGTCATACTCTCCAGCTAAGAGAGAATGTGCTAAGTGATAATGTGATGGTAACTTATATGATGGGCAACTTAGTTTGTAATTTTCTTCCAGTATTGATTTTTAGTTATGGAAAGAGGTGTACCACTTGCAAATATAGCTTGAGCTAATGTCTCATTTGCTTTTTCTTGATCTTCTTGTGACATTTTGTCCACAAAACTTGATAAAAAGCTTGACCGTCTTGAGCAGCTACTCATGGTGGATCACGTATCTGGTGACAGTTAACTTGAAAGCAAGGATCCTGTGTCTTCTTCCCCCAGACCTGGCAGCTCAACATTTTCATTTTCCACTTTTTGCAAATCTGCTATTTCATTTGAGCTACCAAGTTCCTGCAACAAAAAGGGAAAATATTTTTATTATAGCTATAGTCTGGCTTCATCCATCAGAAGGAGAAGCGGCAGGGAGCTTGCTTCTCCCCTCCCTGCCAGAAAGAACACTCTTCTGCTCAACTTGCTGCTCAGTTGCTTTGGGACTGCAGAGCCAAAGCGAAGTCTAATCTGGCCACTGCCATGGGCCAGAGGACTAAGATCACTCTGCTGGGCTGAAATAATTAACATTTCTCTATTATGTAATTTAAAAAATATATTGCTAAGCCTAACCCTCTTTGGGTGCTCAGCACAAGCAGAAAAGCAGGATACAAATATTTTAAATACATAAATAAATAAATAAATAAATAAGAATCCAGAGTTGCATTAACAGCTTTTAAAATTATAATGTTTTAAAACAATATAGACACTAGTCTATACTGCATGTTGCTTAACATATTAAATTTGTTTACTTACACAGGATTTCTGAAGTAGACTTTTCTCAGATGTTGCTGTTCCACCACTTCGTTGTATTTGCTTTCTGTATATGGCTTGTACTCTTTCAGGACAGTTTCTACATGTTATTAAATGTTTCTTCATTCTTGTTGCGTTGTTAGCATAATCCTGCCTGCAATATTTACATCTACCAACTTTCTTCCTTCCTTCAGTGGCTTGAACTTCACTATAATGATGCCACACACTAGTTTTTTTTCTGATTAGGCATTATTATGACTACTTCAAAGCAACAACACTAAAAAACTAACAGATCTTAAGCAAACACTTCCAACTTCCTTAACTCAGGAAAAAAAATGAGACACTGCTCTGTATGTTTGCTGAACTGAAAGTGAAACAAAAATTAATCGCGGTATTAGTTTTGGTTTTGCTTTCACTTGCAGTCCGATGAAATAAGAATTTTAGCTTTGGTTTTGATTTGACCTGCACAGCCAATTAGGTGAATTTATAACTTGATTTTTGGTTTGGATTATTATGCCAGTGTATTTACCCTGCTGTTTACAAATCAATAAAACATATGTACTCTCTCTCACACTTCCTAGGGATAATCACCTGAAAAACATTCATTACAATTTTGAAACTGCAAAGCTTGCCTAATGTTGTACTGACCTCCATTCATTGTTACTAATGAATTTAATGAAACAATGAAGTTTTAGAAATGGAAAATTTCCCACGGAAAAATAAAGCACTGGAAAATTTTCCACCCCACATTTCTGACAATGATGCCAAATTTTCTTTTTAAAAAAGTTACTTCAGTATGTGTGTTTCTATAGACCACAGGGAGTAATAATAAGAAAGCAGAAAAATGGCAATCGCTTACAAGTAAAAAAAGGAGTCATGGAAAGAAAAAAAAATCTTAGGGTGAATTTCCACTACAATCAGACATGCACTTGTGTTTGAGATAGCTACACTTCAGTTTGTCTGGCTAACTGGATGCAGTGAAAACACAACACCCATAGGCTTCAGTGGGCCACGTAATTATGATCCAGGGCACTCTACACGGAAACCTGCACTGCCAACATAGATATACCACTATCTACTATCTTGCCAATCATAATTGATCACGTGGTAATCAACTGCCCCAACAGCAGAAATAGTCAGAATGAAGCATATTTGATTCAAATAGTTCCTATACTGATAAACTTTAAGTACGTACAGAATCATACTCTTCTTCCTCTTCTTCTGTATGGTCATAGAAGTGATCGAAGTCTGAAGATCTGTCCGGATCCAGTAATTCATCTCCATCTTCACCACCCACAAAGAATCTAGGAGGGTCATTCTCTGTTTCCGTAACAGACATGACTACAAGAACTAAACAGACCTAAGCAGAGACAGCAGCCACTTCAGCAGCCAAGATACTGGGCATATTCTCAATGACTAGGAAACACTAAACCTTTGCAGTTTATCACTGCATGTGCTGTCACTTGCTACCGTGATAAAGTCAGCTGCCAAATGCAGTTTTATTGATATCATCTGTTCATTGTTGGTTTATGTTGTTGCTTCAAGAAAACCACCACAGGTTACCATTTCCCTGAGATGATGTGGCAATCTTTTATCCTAAGAGAAAAAAGAAAAGAAATATATAAACATATGCAAATTAAATGTAATTTTAAATTTCAAGCTTTTCAATATTTATATGCCTTTGGGATAAAAGGCAGAAAATTATTTAAAGAAAGGGTCTCTCTTTCACACACAAGCACACCTGCACCCACCCTGAGCAAAATAAATAAATAAATATAGGATCACACCATGATTAGAAAATCTGAAACCAGGAAAAAATTTATGATGAAACCTGCTCTCCAAAAAATTCTGCAGTAGGAAAGGAAAAACTATATCCTTACTTGATGTCGAGTTTAAATTTCTAGCCTGCTTCAAAATTAAAGATTTCAAAAATCAATGACATGTGGCCTTTTATACTGCAGAGATAATACAGAATGGCAGCCTTTTGTTTGATCATGAAGTGTTTTTAAAAAAATTAGATTTACTATTGGTTGCCATGTATTATGCTCATTTATACAGTAATATAAAAGCACAAATTAGCTTGGTCAGCCTAGCTGTACAGAAAACCAAGGAGTCCTGACACTGAGTCCCCTATTGTAATCCCTATAAAACACTTCTTCCCATTACTGTGTGTGTGCATATTATGCTCTTATGTTCACTTTATTATTTCTTTGGACTGCTGTATCTTGCATCAATTCTTTTAATACACCCCAGGGAATTATGCAATTATGTGCCCGTGCAATTTTGCACATAAAACATATGACCATGCATAATTTTGCATAATTTAACCCAGGCGGGCTCTGCCTCCACCAGCATAGGGCTCCCAACACTCCAGATGAGAGCCCCATGTGGAGGCACTGAGCATGGTAGTGCATGACTGGACAGCTGGTGAGTGCAGAGGGGAGCTCCTGTCTGCAAGGGGAGGTATGTATGGGGTTTGCGGGTGGCTGTGGGTCCCCGCACCACATGCTCACGCCACCCCATGGTGCATAGCCCTTGCTGCCAGTGGCAGCAGCAGCAGGCCCTGAAGGTGATCACAGCCACAGCAGGCAAAGCCCCCTGGTGGTTCGTGGCTCCAGCTGATTCCCAGGAGCTCCGTGCCAGCACATGGAGCCCACAGCACTGCAGGCAGGAGCCGCATGCCATCAGGCTAGGACATCTAGCACTCCAGCAGAAAGCCTGGCACCATGGCATGCGACTCTGTGCCTCTACCTGTGGTTTTCTGCTGGAAGCCCCATGAAGAGGCATGGAGCCCACCTGGCCTGATAGCATGCAGCTCCCAGTCCAAGTGCCATTGGGTCAGGTGGGCTCCATGCCTCCCCATGGAGCTTCCAGCACTCCAGCAGGAAGCCACATGTGGAGACACGGAGCCTACCGGGCATGATGGCGCACAATTCTGTGCCTCCACATGCAGCTTCCTGCTCGAGTGCTGGAAGCCCCATATGGAGGAAAGGACAATGATTCTCAGAACCAGTTAGTCTCTAAGGTGCTAACTGCCCAACTTCAGGCTAACTACCATATTTACTCAAATACAAGACAAAGTTTCCCCCCAAAACTGGCATGGAAAAAAGAATCTCTCATCTTATAATCACATAAGAGGAAATCTCACTAAATACACTATCATTAAATTGTTGCCAAAAGCAGCATGTAGTCAGCAATGGAAACCAATGATGAGGTTGAATAAATGTAGCCAATGCTGAGCATGACTATAAAACACATGACCCACATTGGGCAAACATGGAACCTACCACAAGGATAGGTTAGTGCAACCCATCTGAATAAAACATATGCTAGTACTCACTAAGCACAAGCCTCTGCACCGCCACCCCTTTTTGAAGTTATAGTGCACCATGACATTGCATACCCAGAATCCCTCTGTTGACCCTTATCAGCCTGGCATGATTAGTGTGGTCCCACTCAGTGGTCCCTCTAGGCTGCACAGGTGTGCTCATGCCGTGCTGCCAGGCGCGCCTGCACAGCCACGCACATCACACAGCTTAGAGGGAACGCTGGTCCCGCTCTCCATGAGGTGAAGCTGAAACAGGTTGCTTAGTGCCTCATCTGCAGATACAGTTTTGGAGTATCACAGGACTTGCGACAAAAACACCTGATTTCAGCCACGAGAGGGTGCTAATTAGAACATGGATCTTTGGAGGGAGCTTATCTGGAGTATACACACATACTGACCAGTGCTGAGCTGCAAGGTCATCATGGAGGCGTGACCACACTAATCATATGCACCAGGCTGAGAGAGGGTGCGACAGAGGGAGTCTGGGTGAACTGAATGCAGTGTTGCTTACCAGGGCTTGAAATTCTGTCGACTCTGGTGGGTCCATCCCAGTGAACTTTGCAGTAAGTCATGAACCTTTCGGCTTTGGATTAATACCATGCATACCTTCTCAGCCTCTTGTAGACTAACATTTAGTTACAGCACTGGTGTGATACCCCAGCCTAAATGGATTTAAAATAGCACTGTGTAGTGGAAGATGCACCCTGGTCCAAATGCAGACAGGACTCCCTACAAGAGCCTCATTCTTAGTTTCTTACTGGCCAGCTTCCAGTAGGAAGATCTTGGCTACAGGCCAACTTTATGGAAATGGGGAACTCCTCCCTAGCTTGTTCTTGTAGCCATGGGCGGAGGGCAAGTGAAACTCAGGGGCATCTGAACCCCAAGCCTCTGGGCTTGGGCCTGCACGTACGATGCCTGCCAACGGATTTGGCAGTACCTGAATCCCCAGGCTGAAAAGTCTGGGGTGGAGGATACTTGCCGTTAGCAGAACCACATATGGTTTTTGAATGATTCAAAGGATTCAGAACGGATCTGGCCAATTTTACCTGGAATACCTGTTTATGAAACACCTGTGCTAAAACTTGCAGCAGTTTCAAAAAAGGTAACGTGCATCAATTCTGGATGAACTAAGTGCATGGGTACTATATGCTACAGCCATGTTTAATTTCAAGGTTATTATTTTCAAATTTGCTTCTCCCTTCCATGTGCTCAAGGAGAACAGGATCTGACAGAAAGGGGAGGGAGAAAAGGTTGCCAGGGAAAAAACTGAGATAAAATGAGAGCAAAGGGCTACCTGATCCCCCAGGTTTATTTCCCCTGCCGTAGCAGCGGGAAAGGGACATTTTCAAAGGCAAATCCCCAATAATTGGGAAATCTACACCTGGAAAATAACAACAGATTTATAAGTTTTACATATATAGAATCTAATTATTGGTCGTGTATTCAGGGTCATTTTCTGTTCGAGTAATACAGTAGCTGTCTTAACCTTTCTTTAAAAATATTGTGAACTAGCTTGATCTACTCTAGTAAGATTCTTAGCCTAGTAAGGGAACAACAGACCCTAAGTGGTAAATCTAGCCACCATTCTCTAAAAAAGTTCAATTGTAACAGAGTTTTGCAATGAGACAGTTAAGAAACTAGGGGATTCCAGAAAATAATCCTAAATTTTTTTTTTAAATGGCATAATACAACTCCAGTAAATTCAGCAATTAGAAGAAGAGATAAAGACAGACTGGAGGACAGATATGGTGGCAGAGCGGTCTCTAGGGGTGTGCGGGGCCTGGGGCATCATCCTGCGCAGGGCCTGGGGGGGAGGGGGTGGTAAGTGGCTGGAGCTGGCAGCGGCAGCGCAGCCTATATGACACTGACCATGAGGCCCCCAAAAGTGCAGGGCCTGGAGGCAGTCACCCGATTCACCCCCGCCCCAGGGACAGCCCTGGTGTCTGGATTCAATGAAAAATGACTGGATCAAAATGGGGGTTGAGATAGTTAACTCTTTTAAAACCTCTCCCTGGTTAGGTGCATTAGGTAGTCAGAAGCCACGGAGATGCATTACATTTTTGCCAAAAGAAAAAGCTTTCCTCCTGGCACAAGAAAACAAGCATACAGCCATTGTGGGAGACTGGTTCCCTGTATTTCTCACACTTGTCTGGTTTGACCTGGAGAACTGTCATGGGGGCAGCAGGCAGCAGTGCCATGGCAGCAAAGCTCCCTGGGCTCAGGAACCTTTGCTGTGGTGAGAGAATGGTCCCCTGCCCTCCTCCAGTTTCACCAGGAAGAGTAGATGAAGTGGGGACT